TTCTTCTAAGAAGCGATGGTCCTCAGAGATGTTAGTTTTTCTAAATGTATGGACAAAAGAAGTGAGCAATTTGTGTTAGACCCCAGAGTCTTCTATTGTTTTGTTTTTTGACATTATACTGCTGGCGAAACCTTAAAGGAGGGAGAACTACTTTACGGGGATCATTGGTAACTAAGAGAAAACAGGCACCTAACAGGACACCAAACTGATCAATTTGAGTGGAAGATAAGAATGGTGCTTGAGCTGTCTATGGCCTGTTGTGTGTGTGCGGTGGGGGGTGGGGGAAGATTCTAGAAGCCTGGAAGCTGGATGGCGTACCGGGCACCAGGTTAAATAATGTTCCCGGGAGTAAAACGTGCTACAAGGAAAGGCAGAGTCTCCCTGATGTTGGCTGCTCATCTGTTCCCCCGCTCCAGCAGGGCAAGCCCCCAGGCACAGAGAGCTGCCACCCAAACCCTTGTTTGGTCTATGCAGCAATTTTTCTGTCTTTCTCAGAAGGGGCTGATGTGAGTTGGACTTCACAGGCACCTTGCCTGCAACCTCTCCCCTCCTCCACGTCTCAAAACCGTGTTTCCTAGAACACTGTATTCTGTGAGCTCAAAGTTCATAACAAGCTCGCAGACATCACACCCAAGACATCGAGCCAGCTTGTGATGGGAAGAAGCACTTGGCCACAAGGCCCACGGGTGTGGCTGGCCCTGGGCAGGAAGCCGTGCTGCTCACTGACCCTTGGTGTGAAGGGGGTGTGGGTGCTGATGGGCTGGGGGTGCTCCACAGAAGAGCAACAGGGGGATCCGCAGTAGTTACAAAAGGCGGCTGCGGTTATTACCACACACTTGAGGCAGTGATAAACTGAAATGATTTAAAGACAAAAGAAAAGACACAGCTAGTGTCCATTTTAATCTTGAGCCTATTTTTCAGAAAGGGCATCAAACTCCAGCCCCAGGCAAAACGGTGGTGAAAGTGGCCAAGCCCTTTTTTGATCTGCGGCTCCTCCTGCTTTTGCCACAAACTTAGTTATCTATTGTTGGAAACAAATTATTGTGAGACCTGATGACTTACAACCTTTTTCTCACATTTTCCATGGGCCAGGAGTTCAGGAATGGTTTAGCTGGGTGCCTCTGGATCCAAGTCTCTCATGGAGTTGCAGTCAAGCTGGGCCCGACAAGAGCTGGAGAATCCGCTTCTAAGCAGATTCCAAGCAGGTCACAGTGCCTCGGTTCCTTGTGATGGAGATTCTCCATGGGCTGCCTGAGAGTGCTCCCAACAAGGCAGCCGATGTGCAGGAAGCCAAAAGACCGAGATCACAGGAATGGGAGCCGCAGCCTCTGCAACCTGGCCTCAGAGGTGACATTCCATCACTTTTACCATATTCTAATCACAAGAAGTGGGGTACTAGGTCCAATTCATACTCAAGGAGAAGGATTGCATAAGGGTGTGAATATCTGGAGGCAGATATCATCAGGCCATCTTAGAGGCCATTTACCACAGCTACCCTCCTTATCTTCATATTCATAATAGTAATAATGGAAGGAGCGATCTAACAAAGTTGGTATGAGAATCAGATATAAAAAAGAGTAAGATAGGACTCCTAAAAGAGAGGTCCAAGAAAGGCAGTGTGACCAAAACGTCTTTACTTTACCCTCAGATCCAGTTATGGAGATGAGCCCAGAAACCTGCCTTTTAACAGTACCGCAGGCCCGCCAAGACTTAAAACCACCCTTTCTACTCTGTAAGTTGGAAATAAAGAAAGGCAGAGCAATTAGACAAACAGGGGAGCTAAGAGGTAAACTTTTTAAGCCCCCAGATGCTCTCCGTTGCCTTGTCCTTTAAATAACTCTCCTGTTCTCAGGGCAACTGTGAGTTGATGGAAACGCTGGCAATACCAAGTACATTTTCACAAACCGAACCTCACCGGAGCAGTGCCCTGAGACCCCACTGAGAATCTCCCATCAGTGTGATCAATATCCCATGCTCCACAATTACCTCCTCCTACCCTATAGCGGCCTTTGAAGCCAGGCTTCTATGACAACACTTAAAACAACAGATGGTTTTGGCAAATGACCCTGACAAACATATTTAATTTTTTTTTTTTTAAGAGACAGGGTCTCACTTTGTCTCCCAGGCTGGAGTGGAGTGGTACAGTCACAGCTTACTGCAACCTCAAACTCCTCAACTTAAGCAATCTTCCTGGCTGGACTTTTTTTTTTTTTTTTTCTTTGATGAACAGTAATACATCTTGAGGCATCACTTAGCGTTCTACTTGTCAACAGTAAACACACATTGTTTTACCCAGCAGAAAATGTAGCCACATCCAGCTGCAATTTACAGGGAAGAAAACAGGTGATTCTTACCAACAAATCAAATTAACCTCAGCTGGAAAGGACAGTGAGATTTCATCAAATCCATGCCAGAGAGAATAATCCTCAAAATACCCACCAATAGGTAGTCCTCTATTTAATCCCTTGGGCAATCAAGTCCTTGTCTCCACCCTCACAGTGATTTATTTTATATGTAACCAAATCCTTCCTGCTGTAATTTACAGCATTTTCTTTAGTTCTGACCTTGAGGGAAATAAAGAGCAGATGCTCACACAGCTTTTAATATTTGAAGATTCTTAAGTCACTGCTGAGCTTGTCCTGCTGTTAGGGTGGAAGGGAGCACAGGTTGCTGCTTTTTCACTTTTTCTGCTTTGCTCTGCTTGGCCTATATTTCTGTTAACAGGAGTATTGTTTTTATCTGAGTGAATTAAAGACTATGAGTTATTTTCAGTTTAGCACAACTGGAATAGCCTGGTCTATTTTTTTTTTTTTTTTAACAAAATCTACCAACAAATGCTGGCTTCCATGAGGGGATTTGGCTTAAACAGATGACATTTAAAAATTACAATCAATTTTTCCTTAATGCCACCTAAAAGTCAGAAATGTAAAAACTTGACTTTGTTGGCTGGCCTTTGATTGCTTTAATCTGATATGACTGAGCTTTGTTGAAGCTTGGTTCCATCGTCATCTAGAATTAAAATCAAAGACAGTATTTTCCTTCCTTCTCCGCACAACAAGGCCCTCTGAGTCTTAGAGGTAAATGAATATTTCCAAAACTGCATATGGGACTGAATAATCTCCCACAGCAACTCCCAAAATAAAGTTCTGAAAGCACCTCTCATGTTTATTGTTTCTTAATATCTTGTTGCAAGGTGGGCAAAAAGGGAGTTGCCTGGGCTAAAGGCCAGGAGACCAAGTTCTAGTTCTGGATTTTGTTCAGCCTTTGTGGATCACGGTTTGCAACTTTATATATATATATACAAATATACACATACACACACATATATACAAGTTTAAATATATAAAAAAATAAGCGCTCTTCCTTTGAGAGAGCTTCCATGCCAGGGAGAATAATTCTCAAAATACCCCACCAATAGGTAGTCCTTTATTTAATCCCTTGGGCAATCAAATTCGTGTGTGTGTGTGTGTGTGTGTGTGTGTGTGTATAAGGAAGAGAGCTTAAATCCCCAGTCTTGCAAGTCTCATACTTGGCTGAGTGTGGTAGCTCATGCCTGTAATCCCAGGACTTTGGGAGCCCAAGGTGAATCATTTGAGGTCAGGAGTTTGAGATCAGCCTGGCCAACATGGTGAAACCCCATCTCTACTAAAAATACAAAAATTAGCCAGGCATGGTGGCACGTGCGTATAGTCCCAGCTACTCGGGAGGCTGAGGCAGGAAAATTGCTTGAACTCAGGAGGTGGAGGTTGCAGTGAGCCAAGATCATGCCTGCACTGCAGCCTGGGTGACAGAACAAGACTCTGTCTTAAAAAAAAAAAAAAAAGAGTGTCATGCTTCTGAGTCTGACAACCATGTGAGTTTTGGGCAAGATTTAAAATTTCAAAGGCACAATTTTCTCACTGGTTAGATAAGAATAACAATTTTCACCTCACTAATTTGTCGTGAAGATTTCAGATAATGAATATAAAGGATCATGGCATATAGTAGGTGCTCAATGAATACCTTTATAAAGAAACACACATATTGCACTTATGTTATGATGGCTGCCTTCTTATTCAGAAGACTATTCTAATTCTTTCTCTTTTTATTCTAATTTCTTTGGATTTATAAACATCCCCACAGCTCTTTCAAACCAAGGATCTTCACAAATAACAGTGTCTAGGGAATCTTTATTCTCCTAAAACAAGTACTTAACAGTGGTCTTATATTCTATAAAAAAATATTTTAAAAACATCTTCACGTGTAATATTATATATAAGGGAAAGAGACATTTAAGCCAGTGTTCACCCCTGACCATGTTCATACTCTTAACTATGTGGAGACTCATGACTTTGATTCTTATTTTGGCCTTTACTCAGACTCTGACTGCAGATAAGAATCAGTTTTGCTTAAATTTCAATTGCTTGGGAAAGATCCTTGATGATGGATGGCTATACAGAATTGTGAATAAATGCTCCTGTGAAAATAAGAACAAGTGTATATGTTTATGTGATAAAGCAGATAATTCTAGAGTATAAGCACAGCTATGTTTTGAGTTGTTAAATATAATTTATAGAGATTAAACATATATTATTAAATATAGATTATTTATATATGTGTGTGTGTGTGTGTGTTTACATAAAGTTGCACACTGTGATCCACCATTGCTAGAGCAAATCCAGAACTAGCACTTGGCCTGCTGACCTTCATCTTAGAGTTCACAACAGCCTCATTCTTAAAACAACTACAACACACTGACTGCTTTCTACGCACACCTATGTAGACTTCTGGACACTCTTTTTGTTTGGCTTTTTTTTTTTCTCATTTATAGTCTCAATGCTGAAACTTTATTAGAATTACATCACCACCGCGGTTCTTAAGCTCTGTCACAACATCTGAGGAAATTATCTTTAAATGTTCCTAAGCTCTATACCTTAGCCAAAAAAAAAGTCCTCTGCTGTTCAAGAATAATAGGCCCAGAACAAATCCCGAAAATAAATGACAAAGCCCATGTTACTCACAAGAGGAAAGGATCATGGCAGCCCCTTCTGCAGGGAGCACACAGAGCACACAACAGTCTTCAGTTCTTCTGCGGTGCTCCACTCACAAAAACACATCTTTCAACTGAAATCATAGTTCACCAAAGATGTTTCTCACGGGCAGAGTTAACCCCTCCTATTTTCCTGTTCTGAAAACCTCAGAAGCGTATAAATGACAGCCAATGGCCTATATACGAAAGCCCAGTAATCTGCATCCCAATCTCTGAGGGTGTGTATTAGTCTTATCCCCAAAGGTGTGGGTGACTCGCAAACATCATTTTCAAGAAATCACAAAATTTTGGTAAAAGGCACCTTTAAAATCATCAAGTCAAACTGCCCTCTCTGGACTGGGAAGGAAATGGAGGCACAGATAGACTAAGGGACTTGCCCAAGGCCACACAGTGAGTGGTAGAAACAATTAGATTCTAGGCTCTGGAATATTGAGTTTAGAATGTTCCATCCTCCCACTCAGCAGACACTCTATTTGGGGGAAGTCAATCTAGTAATAACCCTAAAAAGTGACTGGGGCACAGCTAAGAAATATAAAAACAACAACAATACAAAACACACTTGGGAGTTTCACTTCATCCCATTGGAAAGCATAACCATGTGTTAACAAATTAAGGGAACAACTTTAATGAAGACAGGTATATTCTCACCGCCCTTCCCATTTCCTGTTTAGATTAAGGTTCCTTAGTATTCTGAGGGATGACTGTTATTTTTACTTTACCTTTTGCCTTAGTTATGCTTTTGTATAAAAACTTCTTAAGTCTTAGTAAAAAATATTTAAAGATTGTTGAAGGAAATGTTCCCAAATGTTGCCAGGAGCTATCTATCTTGTTTTTCCATCAACAGCATACATTGACCATTAGGGCAGGGACTCTATCTTCTCCTCATTCTCTTCCAAACCACCGAGTACTTCCCATAGCTCCTCAGGGTGAAAAGGGAAGTATGGGTTGGGAGGAGAAGAGAAGGGAAGGTGAGGAAGAAAGGAGAAAAGCGGACAGTGATAGTAAGGTAGAGTGTACCAGGACCAGCCCCTTGAATGAGCAACAAGTCAGTTAAAAGTTGTGTATGGTTAGCAAAGACATGGAATCAACCTGAATGCCCATCAATGATAGACTGGATAAAGAAAATGTGGTACATATACACCGTGGAATACTATGCAGTCATAAAAAAAGAATGAATTCATGTCCTTTTCAGGGACATGGATGGAGCTGGAAGCCATTATCCTCAGCAAAGTAATGCGAGAACAGAAAACCAAACACCACATGTTCTCACTTATAAGTGGCAGCTGAACCATGAAAATGCATGGACACAGGGAGGGGAACAACACCCACTGGGGCCTGTTGGGGGAGGGTGGATGAGGGGAGAGCATCAGGAAAAATAACTAATGCATGCCAGGCTTAATATCTAGGTGATGGGTTGATAGGTGCAGCAAACCACCATAGCACACATTTACCTATGTAACAAACCTGCACATCCTGCCCATGTACCCCAGAACTTAAAAATTGTGCACGTTTTTGTGATGGGAGTACAATTAAACAGGTAAATAAGAAGGAATGTGGCAGATTGTGATCAGATCGGGATAAGTAGTTTACTTCCTTCCACTATGAGGTGCACAGGAAAAGAAAAAACGCAGCCTTCAGTGGATGGACTGCCTGGTGTCCAGACTCTAGACAGTCCGGGATGAAATGAAATGGTTCTCCAGGGTCAGAGTGAAGGCGCTGCCCAGAGCAGCCAGCCTGTGTGTTCACCCAACGCTCCAGAGAGCACGAGAGACCATGGCGGCCTCCAGAAAAGACGGAACTCCTGAAGGGAAGGCGCTGTCTTCCTCGGCGGGCTACCCCACCAACACCAAGAATAATGTGTTGGCCAATAAATGGTCTCTGGGTGACGGACACGTAGTTTCTTTTCGCTGACGCTCACGTGACCGAGGTAGTTTCTTTTCCTTGGGGCTCATGAGGAAAAAAGGAAGGCCCTGACTCCGTTAATGTCTTAGTAGAGCTTCTAAGGATGGGAAATCCGCACGCAGAGCTTGCCAGCAGGGTCGCCTGGGAGAATGTACGACAGTGCCACCCATCCCGGAACCCAAGTCCAAGCAGGCCCCCCGAAAAACATCCGGCAGGCGGCCCGAACCCCACGCCCCACGCTCGCCGTTTCTCTTGCCCGGGACACGGGACTCCCCGTTTCTCTTGCCCGGGACACGGGACTCCCCGTTTCTCTTGCCCGGGACACGGGACTCCCCGTTTCTCTTGCCCGGGACACCGGACTCCCCGTTTCTCTTGCCCCGGACAACCTGCTCACCATTCTCTTGGCAGCTTCCTGGATCCTCCGCCACAACTCAAGCTGCTTCCGGGTCTTGCGTGAGGTGGAGGCAGTCTTTGTCGTGAGCATCACCCGATACTTCTGCCCCAGAGCCCAGCACTTCCAATTATAGTGTCTGTGCTCCAGGGAAGATTCTTAAGGCTTAGAAGTAGATGACCTGGTTCAGTTTTCCACCTGATTCTGATTAGCTGTGGCCACCATGGGCAGGATTACACAGGCAGACCCTAATTGGTGGTTGAGCTGGACAGGCATCCCCAGACACATTTACCTGAGTGAGGAAGGGGTATTACTCGTAGAAGAGTTGAGACTTTGTTCTCTTCAGGCATATTTGATGTCCAGGGGGAAATGAATGAATAGCTGTAAGGCACAGTCTCTAGTCCTAAGAAGGTGAGCTCATATACTACAGGTTTAAAAGTTTCAATTAAAAGTCAACTCGTGTTTCTTATAAATATATAACTTTATATATTACATATATTTATAATATATACAGCATACAAATATTTTTCATGTAATACTAAGAGCAGTCTTGAAAACGGAGATGTTTTCAAAACAAAAGATGGGTATTTATCCAAGGTGGGTTCCTGATTTATCTAGAACCCAACTGTAAGCAATGTCTCAGGCCTAGATTTCTGTAGAAGCCAAAGGGAAAAAGAAGAGTTACTGGATCATGGCTCTAATACCCTTCCTCTTCCCAAATACCCTGGCCTCCAACTGGCGTCAACTAACATGATCCCATGTGTGCACCTGTAAATGGCCAAACCCTGCGGCTGTACACAGTGCCTGGTATACAGTTGTCACTTGAGTGCATGAGGAATGAATAGAAATGAGTGATTTTAATCACCATCTCTAAGGCAACATTTCCACACTCTGGGAGATTCCGTCTAGAAGCAAGTCTAGACGGAGGCTGATCCAGAAGCAAATTCTTTATGGGTTTCCACTTTATAAGCAAAACGATCCACATGTCCAAGTACTCAATAAATTAAAAGCCACAAAATGCCCATCCTTCCTTCTGCTTGGGAGCTGCTGGTCACATCACTTATCTTCCAAACGTTTCTTCACATTCAACTAGTTCATCTATCGTGCGCAGCAGATCTTCAAAAGAAGGCCTTCCCTCTGGTTTCTACAATTAAAAGTCAAAGAGAAGCTGTGGGTTCCAGAATCCATTCCAAAAACTCTCACTGCTCAAATACCTAAACATAGCGTATTACAGAGAGGCTTCTGCTTTGGGACTGGGACATACAGGCTATCTCCAAAGGGGTTTTGTCTCTACCCTCCTCTACCCTGCACATACTGCTGCTAGGCTAATCTTTCTAAAACACTGCTTTCATGTCTCTCTTCAAGAGCCTGATAGGTCTCCTTATTGCCTGAGAAATCAAGTCCCACAAATTTTTAGGACCCTCTATAACCTGCCACTTACCCACCCTCTCGTCATCCAATTTTATCCCCCACAAAAACCCGCACATGAGCTCTCTATTAAATCGGGCCACCCCCTCCCCTGTCGTGCACACACACCGTGTTTATAACCACCTCCTTAGCTTTGCTCAAGCTGTTCTCTCTCCCTCTAGCACCACTTCCTGCCCAGAATGTCTCTGCCCATCCTAATCAATGCTCTTGGGAGGTGGTACAGCAAGTGGTTAAGAGCCTGGGCTTTGGAGTCAGACAGGCCTATGCTGCTCTATAGCTAAGTGACCCCAGGCAAGCAGCAACCTCATGACCCGTAATCTTCTCTCATCTACAGAGTGGCCACAGTCGAAGTGTCTCCATCTCAAAGGGTTGTTTTGAGAACTAAATCCAAAGCACTAAGTATAGTGCCTGGTACATAATGCATGTGAGCTAATGTTACTGTCTTTCAGAAGTCACTTGGTATCTAATCTCTTTTAGAGGTGACATTTCACTACTTCCAAAGACCTCAGAAAGTTGAGGTTTAGAGAAAGAAGCCAACTCTGGTAAAAGAAAAATACTTCAACTCTACCAGTGACCCAGTGAAAAAAGAGCTACTTCTCCAGGCTTAGTCCCCAAGTCCCTAGCTCAGACAACCATGGAAGGAGTCCCACTTGGGAATGAGGAAGCAGCCTGAATGTGTCAAGATAGTTATTAGCATTTTCCCATCTTTACATTCTTCTTGCCGATATTCAGAACTTGAGGATTGGCTTCCTACCTAGAGCTTGAAATCACTGTAAAGCATGCACCACCTCACTAGGCTATAAAGACTGCATGTTGTCCATCTACCAAGCCCAATCCCTAAGAGATTCAGAAAGAAAGCACACAAAAAAGTCTATACCTCCTGCCAACATCTCAGCATCACCTCATATACATAGGCGGACGCCAACTTCGGCTGGTAGAGTCGGTGCCCTCGAGTAACCATGGTTACCACTTCATAATTGGTGTATTTTTCAAAGGGCATTCTGCCTTCTGTGAATATTTCCCACATTAAAACACCTGGAAAAGGATAAGTATTACCCAATGGATGTATCCACTTCCTCCTCAGGACGGACAGAGATAAGGAAACACGGACCATGGATCTTACCAAATGACCAGACATCTGATTTGCTGCTGAAGCGGCTGTAATTAAACACTTCAGGTGGACACCACTTCACAGGAAATTTAGCACCGGAAGAACTTGTGTACTGATCATCCAGAACATACCTAGAGTAAGACACACCGTGGGTTTACACCTCTGAAGTACAATCTGCATTTCTACTTGCTCTTTCATTTTTTTCCCCCTTACGATGAAAAACACAGTTGACTGAAGTCCAACAAGCATCCGGTTGAAGCTAAATGTTCACCTCAGTGGCCACACCTGGTGATTTCCAACTTCCTCTCAGCTTGATTTAAGTGCATGAGATGAATGCATCACCACATTACTATCTGCACTTCCATTTTTCTGTTTTTCTTTCTTTTTATAAGGCAATAGAGACAAGGTATCATAAAATAGTTTGCAAGCTTTTCTTTGGAAGCAGTTTTGTTCTTTAAATAAAATTTTACCCAAAGGCCCCATATGTAAAAAATCTAAAGCAGAGCTGCTCTAGAGGAAGTGGTATAAAGCATCTAGAAATACACATGCTTTCAGCCCTCACAATTCCACAGAGTACAGTTTAAAACTACAGCATATGAAAATAATAAATGCAAAAAAAAACACACACACACACCCACACACAACACAAAATGCCACATGTAAACGGTGGAGTATGCATTTATATACCATAACATCCCCACATACACATGTGCACTCAAAACTACTATGCAATTTTTTTATGTGAACATATTACGTCCTTCTGGAAGAACATACAGAAAATGGTAACAGTGGCTAACTTTGGGGGAGAATCCTTGATTACCGTTGGTAGATGAGAAGACTTCGGCCCTTTCTGTAAGGTGGGCAGCACATATTTACAAAAACAAAACAAAACAAAACACATGTATTTCTGTATTATGTGTGAATATGCCATCATTTCTAAAAGCTTTCATGAGAAAATAACAGAAGAATTGCACAAATGTCCTTTGCTATATAGACAAAGATGGTGACACGGCACAAATCCAGCTGCTTGCTTGGCAGACAATGCCACTATGGGCTAGATCAAGCTGTCAGCCAGGGGAGTCTGAATTTAGGGTATAAAGAGTGTTTTCGAGTGGTTGATGCTAAAGTGCACATTTTCTGAAAACCTAACGTGAAGATTGAACATATGAAAGTGATGGACAGCCTGTCAAATATAGAGTATCTTTATATAAAGCAAATAAAGAGCATTAAGTAATTAATATCCTGAGAGTTGGAAGTTCTGACCCCATTTCTGACAGTATC